TGAGGTCTCAGCTATGGACAAATTGTTAACTCCCAAACTGGGGTCGAAACACTATAATATGAAAGTAGATTTTTATAGTAAAAATAACAGCAATACATTTTTTAAAAAAGAAATATCCCCAGCAATACATTTGACTCTCGACAAAAAAATCTCTTTAGAAAAAAAACGTCAATGAAACCTGATCTAGAAACTTCTTTCTTACAAAGAATATATATTCTGTTCATATGAATCTATCCTAAAAAAATTCGTCTCGACATTAAATAATACTTCTTCTTCTTGCGGCCTCAGCCGAGATTGAACTCACCAATACTTTGATTGGTGTAGTCCATAATTGTTGAAACTTGATTAATGCATGGAATAATAATGCAACACAAAATGTACTTAGAACAAAATGTATTGAAACAAGAAAGTGTACACAATATTTACATATAGTCTTTTGTATATTCCTGGTAGGACCGTTCCTGGAGAATGTGTTGACTGAGTCGCAGTCGGGCAGAGTCTCTGGATTGAATATCTTGATTCCTCCCTCTCTTCCCGGTACCAACCCATATTTATATGGTCGATACTCCACTATGCATCCTGCCAAATAGCTGAATTCTTGATGCTTCGCTAGGGCTATCAATGGTGTTTTTTTTATCGTGACACCATCACTAAATGGATTGCCAATCAAGGCTCAGAGACACTCCATTCAGCCTCATCTAAGAGCAGGTTTGAATTCAGAGTTTTCTTTCTCCTAGACCAATTGCCATCCAAGGCTATAGAACCCAGTCTGTCCTGCTATTTACCCATAGCTTGAGGGAGAAGAAAGAGGATTCACACCTTTCCCAAGGGTGTTAGCACGTAAGTGAATGTAATGGATTCGACTGGAATTTGAACTCGGCTCTCCGATTCCTCAATTCAAGCCGCTATCCATTACTCCACCGTGCCTCGTGTTAAATAACACACTGAGGTTGATATGACGTAAAACCAAATAAACAAGACATAAAAATGTATTTGTATATATTCATAGTGTTTTGTTTTTGTTTGCGGTGGGTTCAAAATTTGCTGGGATTCTAACAGGTGCTACCACCCGGGGTAAGGTTGAACCTGGGAACAACAGTAATAAGACGTGACCCCACACTCTTGAAAACCTCTAATCTCCCGATGCGAGGTCTTCAACACGTGGTGAAAACTCACTAATTATTGAATTCTTCAACACGGAACGGTGAATCAGTATTTTGGTAGCCTTTAAGAACATTCTGAATATTGATGTTGATTTAAATATTGAATTCTTAAAGAATTCATTTTCTTCATCTTTCTTCTTCTTTTTCGTCACTGACGCAATTTTGTATGTTGTTTTTAATTTCATTATTTCATTTTATTTCTAATATCTTCTTTTTATTCGCTCGCAGGTGCTTCTGTCATTGATTACACTTTACCCGTAAAAAAAATCTCTTTCATTAACATTAAACCGATGTTAATAACACTGTTCTTCCTGAAACTGCGCATGTGCGCTTCGTCTGATAGATACCGACTTTGAATGTGAAATCAGAAAACTTAGTTACTTATATTCACTCACGAAAAAATACATTTGGGAAATTTATGAATAAAACTGCTCCCACAGTTTTTTGTTAAATATTACGACTTATCTGGAAAAAAATATTGTTATTCTCAAGAAAAAAATAATGAATGCAATATTCACTTGCAATATGAAATCACCACTTAACTGCTGATGTTCCCAGTCCCACACTGACCCAAGGTGGTAGCCCTTATGAGGGTCCCAGCTATGGGAAATAGTGAACTCAAAAGTAAAAAATATCTGCCATATATTTTTATATAAAAATTACCATCAATCTCTATTTAAAGTAAAATTAACAACAGTATCTGTATATAGAATAATTACCTACAATACCTATTTTTAGTAAAATTATCAACAATATATTTTTATAAAAAATTAACAACAATAAATATTTATATTAATTAAAATTAGCAACAATACCTATTTATATTAAAATAATCAACAATATATTTTAAAGCAAAATGACCAGCAATAGATTTTATAGTAGAATTAACAACAATATATTTTATCGCTAATTGAAGGCATACAATTGCGTTCAAAATATATTTAGTTGAAATTGTGTTCAAGTTACTTAGATTTCAGTATTATATAACCCATAGACGTGGATATGCGGCTAAACAAAATCAACCAACCAAATCAACCAAACGCAAAAAAAATAGTTATTCGTATAATCCAAAATATTATATTGTCAGATAAATTCGTTCGTTTTCTCTAGTGTTATTTAAATTCACTGGCATGTTTATTTCTCTGCATCTTTTGTTTATCGTTTTATAATATTGGCAGATTTGTTAAAAAATGCTGACAAATAATAGGCTTAATAGAATAATATGATTAATAAAATAACAAGATTAATAGAATAACAAGATTAATAGACTAATAGGGTTAATAGAATAATAAAATAATATGATTAATAGAATAATAAGATTAATAGAATAATAGGGTTAATAGAATAATAAAATAATATGATTAATAGAATAATAAGATTAATAGAATAATAGGGTTAATAGAATAATATGATTCATAGAATAATAGAATAATAAGATTAAAGAGAATAATAGGGTTAATAGAATATGATTAATAGAATAATAAAATAATAAGATTAATAGATTAATAGGGTTAATAGAATAATATTATTAATAGAATAATAGCATAATAAGATTAATAGAATAATAGGGTTAATAGAATAATAAAATAATATGATTAATAGAATAATAAGATTAATAGAATAATAGGGTTAATAGAATAATATGATTCATAGAATAATAGAATAATAAGATTAAGAGAATAATAGGGTTAATAGAATATGATTAATAGAATAATAAAATAATAAGATTAATAGATTAATAGGGTTAATAGAATAATAAATTAATATGATTAATAGAATAATAAGATTAATAAAATAATAATGCTAAAATAAACTGAAAAATAAAATGAAACGACTGCCTTTGTTTTGGATTTAAATAAACCAGAGAGAATTTATTCGCCGAAAAAGTAATTTAATCAATACTTACACTATTTATATTGCTCGGACTATCATCCTCATCTTTGTTGCCATAGTATCACAACGTTTCTGCCGTTGTACGCTCCGTCGCTCTTCAGGTGGTTAGAATCTCGAACTGAACCCTATATTTCGCTCGATGGGGTAGACTGTTCAATGTACCATGTCTAATGGATGTCAGTTATCAGTTATCTCCTGTTAATGCCCCAAGTTTTCCACCGATTTAACCAGGTATTGAACTCACACTCTTTGGGTCCTGTCACTGGATCTAACTAACGCCTTTTCCCACTTTGCCATTTGTCTTTGAAGACATCATGAATTTCTGGGTATTATAAACCTAATGTCTTCAGCAATCATTTTTTACCAGTACTAATATTGCAATTTTTGCTGGTATCATTGAATTTTTTTTTACCAGTGCTCATATTGCAATTTTTGTTGTTACTATTGCTTTTCTTTGTCACTACTTATTACTGTTTCCCATATTGTATTCATTTCCGGCGAGCAAAATAAAGGGTTTAATTCGACATTCTAACCACCTGAAGAAGACCGGAGCGTACAACGGCCGAAACATTGTGATACATATGGCAACAAAGATGAAGATGATAGTCCGAGCAATGCAAATAGTATACATAATACGTCATCTCAGAAATATAGACAAATAATCAATACTTCCTGAAAACTACAGAATTCCACCAAGCGGTGTACCAAAAAAAAAAAAAAAAAAAAAAAGAAAAACAAGCTAGGTGCAGCTGCTGTGTTTTCAGTACCCACCAGTCTTTGATTGTTATATTAGTTTGGTTTCTATTTCAAGAATACCGGACCAAATTGCGCATTGACAATTTTTTTTCTTTTATTTTGGCTAGGTGTCTAACCACTCTACTCACCAAAAAAACCCTGCAACAGTTATTGCTGCTTTACATGGTAACATTAGGCCCTGTAGAAAGAGCGAAGATTTTTTTTTTTTAGTTTTAATAAAAATCATATCACCATATAAATGCCCAAAGAACATTCTGATGATCAAATTTAATAATTGATGACCTCGAGATTTTAAACAAATTTCAATATCGACATTTCTGTGGAAAAAAGATCATGAGCTTGCGAAAAGAATTTTTAAATCACTGCTTCAGTGTCGCCTGGTCCATATCCAATTGAACTAAAATCACTGGTGATAGCTCATCTGATTTACTTGTATTTGTGCATCCATTAACACTACTAAGTAGTTTCAAAATATACATGAGTTTAATAGGAAAGTCAGAACATTATCATAAAAGAAAAAAAAATGACTGAAATCCTTGAGGAAAGAAGGAAACGAAAATATACCGGGACGAAATATAAAAAAAATCCCGTTTTCCATTCTCGGCAAAACACAGACACCCGAGAGTACGTGAAATGAAATGGGATAAAAAAATAAACTGAAACAAGGAAACCTGTTCGAGTGACTTGAGCTATCGACAAATCTAATATGCTAAAAATTAATACTAAGGAACGATATTCTTTTTCTCAGATTGGATAATGTCGAACGTCGCCTCAAATTTCCAACGTTAATCGTCCATCTTTTTTTATTGTCGATTCATGAGCTATTTCAAATGTCGCATTATTGAATTATCGTTACCTTTCGACTGAGCTCGGTGATTGGAAAGTTGGGAATACAAGTGTAGAGGCATGTTGAATTGATTGATTCCATTTCTGCAGCTTGTCAACTCATTGAAGATTATATAAAGCCAGAAAATATTTTTAGATTGTAAGAATTTTTTTCTTTTTTGAGATAATAATGCTTTAGTGATGCTAGTGTTACTAATTAACCGATAACCGGGACAGGGAAGTGGATTCATGCTTTTCCCAAATATATTTCCATGTAAGTCAATATAACAAACCCAACTGGAACTCGGCTTTACGATTAACAATTCCGATCCATTATCGATCACCCTGCCCGTACATCCAAGCTAACAGCACCTGGTAATTCCAAGGCGGTCACCCGTCTAAGTACTAACAATGCTCGACGATGCTTAACATCGGTGATCGTACGGAAACCGGTGTTTCAGTGTGATATGGCCTTCAGAATAATACATGCTGAAAAATACAGGCAGAAATTTCATCTGATATTTCCATCCTGTCAAAAAACGAATGAAGTCTGCTTGTATGGTAAGTTAATCATAAGACGCCCTGGGTTAATATAAGGTTGGTACAAAAATAATGACGTAATAATGTCGTTTTTTGATGTATTTTTAACGTCAAAAAACGACATCATTACGTCATTATTTTTGCACCAACCTAATAATAATGATTCTTCGACCTTCAAATCATTCCTGACACCAGGGTCATGATAGAGGCTTTGTTAGCTCCATAGCTGGAGTTTTAGCAAAGAAACCACATCGCTTCAGAGACTCAGTCATAAACAGCTGTCGATGTTATAATAACCGTAGCATCGTGATAAAGATAATGTTGAAATTAATCCAAATTACAAGTTTAACCACGCTATCTTTCAGGCGATCCAACAGACACCATGCCAAAATGATACAGTCTTAGAAACATTGTAGTCGTCGGGGATCTTCCATCTTCCTGGCTCCGAAATGTAAAACTTGGATGAAAAACCGATTAGAGACGCCATAGTGTCTGCTACACGGTGATTGGCTGCCCAATCGCCATGTTACTCGAAGAAGAAGCAATCAACAGATAATTTCAAAATACTGACGACAGATTATATCGCGTTTGGAACGGCAAAGATTAAGCCTGTAACAATGAGAGACTTATTTTGAAGAAGACTTATTTAAATTTCCTTCCAACGAGCGTTAAATTCGAAAAATTCTGTTGCGGAAAGAAGCGGGGTGTTTTGCGGGGGTGGGCGGTTGTCCCTAAAGATTGGGTCACCTACACCTTCACCCGCACACAATGGAAGCGAATTACTGGCACGAAAAGAAAGAAACCAAAGTACGTATTGCTAGGGCAGGTCGATTTTGGAACCGTGGCTTTGCGTTCAATTTTAAAAATTGGCGTTTAAAGAAAGAAAATATTGTTTTTCAAATCCTTACTGTTTTTTAAGGAAATTAGTTTTAAAAAAATTAAGGTAAAAAAAATCGTAGCTTTGGCATTTAATTCCAGTGATCAATGAAGGCCTTATAACTCAGCCATATTAAATTTATAATTTATTGGAACTTTACGAATTATATATGGACAAGATGCGTAGCACAAGCAAATTATTACTAAATCATTGTGCTTTCATATAAGACCTTCATTTACTTCAAAGAGAAATTATACTAAACAATTTAGCTGTATCATGGTGTTATATATTACACAGTATACGAGCACGTGGCTGAGTGGTTACAACGTTCGCATTCTGAGCATGAGATCCGGGTTGGAATCTCGCCATGGTCAATTTGTCAGTGACTTCCTGATGTTATTGGACTGGAGGGATCGATCCCAGTGCCTGAAAAGCATACCATGTGTTGACCTAATCCTTGTGTTTGAAAGTGGGTAGACGGAACCCTTGTGGGCCGCCGATAGATGTGCTAGCACGGATTCGCAAGTCATCGTGGCCGAGGGCCTGAACGTTTTGGCCTTGTTCAAATTGTTGATCACGCTTTTTCCCAGAAACTGTAACTAAGTTCTGCTCAGCATAGTTGCAGTATAAACCACATTTCTTTTGAATAAGCACAAATGCGTCTGAGCAAGCACCTGCAATAGGGATTGGCTAGTAGACGAATGGACAACTATGCATATTATGCAGTGCAGTAGTTTTAGTGTGATTTTCAATAAACAATTAAAACATTTTGTCTTATAATTTGTACCTAGCAATGGTGTTATATAGACTTTATCCATTTTTCTTTCATTAATTATGATCTATATTTTATTCACTGAGTAGCTTTTGTTGTAATTTAGTAAGTTCATAAGCAAAAACCTACAGGAATTAGGTATTTCTGTAGATTTTTCCAGACGATATTTAAATACTCAAAAATTGGTAAAAGTTAGGAATCTAATTTTTGGTGTCAGTACTTATCGCATCAAATCTAATCTTTCACACCTAGTTCAATGTTGATTTAAAAAAAAACAAAAAAAAAAAAAACAACCTGCTCTAATGTGGTACTACATTTCTCTTCGAGAAATGGCATGTACAAACCTGGTGTCCAAAGGCTATCTTTTTGTAACACCTATCCTAACCCCATTGGATCGATGTACTCTACAAGACCGACCGTTGGTCCTCTCCTGGTCCAGTATTACAGGTTCTCACAATGTCGATTCGTTTCCACTTTCCAGCCACGTTGTGATTTTTTTTTTTTTTATCCTGGAGAGCAATTAATAAATCGTAGATCCCGGAAGATTCAGCTGGTCTACCTGCATGTTCGTTGGGGCGAGAATCGGGCCAAGCAGAAAAAAATCAAATATGAACGAGTCGATTCGAGTCCAAAGAAAAATTTATGTAGATGTATATAAGGAAGAAATTGGTACAAAAAGAATAATTCTTCTTTTACAAGAAAGGAGTGGATATGAAATAAAGTTCAGAAGAAAAAAAACAAATATTTCAAATAATTCTGAAAGGAGAGAAGTAGTTTTCGGGTTCAACCTTTTTGTTCTAAGTAGTTGCCGTAATTATTTCACTATCAAGATATAAGAATGATCACTGGCAATGTTGCGCCAATATTGCCGTTAACTTGAGTTCACTCCCTCTCTTATTACAGCAGAAAGTGGACGCTTTCACTCTTTGCCTATTTCACTCACTTTGGTCGACTGCTTGTCAACCGACTTCACCCAGCTCCAAATCCAGCTTCAACTTCAACTTCGACTGTTTGTTATTGCACAAACACGTGCTTAAAGAAACGCTGTGGTAACGACAAAAGCTCAGGGTGTTGGTAAACATAGAATACAACCTGATTACTGACCTCTCCCCCTTCACGATTAAAGGAACAGTCTCTTCTTCTCAACTGGTATTCCGTAGTTCATATAAACACTATTGTTTTGACAATTTATATTAATAATTCTGACGAAGCACATATTCTCTGAGCACAAACCTCACCACAGATTATTTTTCTCATCTATAAACAAAATTATATATTGCTATAATTATTCATATTTCTAGGGTGACCATTGCTCTCTGTCACATTTTAAAAGGATTCTCTCATTCTCATTCTTGAACAACGTAAGTTTTTCTGTTGATCTAAAGTGTACAATAAATGTATGCAAAGTTGTTTCGCGTAAAACTTATATGAATGTGTACAAAATTTATCTTTCGTTATACATTACTTGTTCTTTGAATGTGGTGGTCGTTTTTCATTTGTTTTAATTCTTCTTTTAATTCATGTCCCTTCTGAACCTGGGCGATCATAACACTCTACATTTTCCTGTATGTTCTTGCTCTAATATCCTTAGATCCTATACATTCATATGAACTCGTAAAATAACTGGTTATGACTCTCCACAACTTCCTGTCTCTGGTTGTTTCCGAACCATTACAAATTCTGTCTTTGTTCTGTAATCCGTTCACACGAACTCCTAATGCAGATTACTCTCTATTTCTACTCTGCTTTTCTTGTCCTGATTATATTCTGTGATATCCCGTTTTCGATTCATTAAGTTCTCTTTTTATATGCCACACAATTTTCAACTCTATCTTCCTGATTGCAATTATATTGCTATTCTGTTCCTACTTTCTCTAAAACTTCCTCGTTGTTCATAAATTTTATCATGTTATTCTCAGTATCCTACTGTAGAACCACATTTTTGTCCCTTCATGTCTCTTTTTCATTTATATAGAGATTGTGCCGCATTTCCTACTATATAGAAGATTGGATATTAGATAATATTTCAACGCTATTTCATTTTTCTTCTAATTACATTTTCACTTCATTTAAAACTTTAATTAGTTTCTGAAAGGGATTTTTCTTTATTCGTATTCAGGATTCTGTTGACTGTATGTAGACGCCTCAGCAATACGCTTGCCGGAACGCACGCATTGATGTCATGGTCTTCATAAGGCTCGCCATTATTAGTTATCTTAAAGTTACCTGAGGGAAAGACCTTGATCATTGTGAAAACACTTCAGGAGAAATGTATTTTCTAAAACAAGGATTACATCTGACAGCTTCCATAGAGTTGAAAAAGGTTTATCCTCAAGGCAGCAGTTAAGCAACTTCACAAATAATTTGTGAGACACACACACACACACACACACACACACACATATATATATATATATATATATATATATATAGGAAATCACATAAATAAGTGTGCACATTGCATGGCACGGATGAAAAGTATAAACACAACGAAATCAAAGGAATTGATAGTATAGCTCATGCAAAAAGAAATCATCAGGTGCCGATTATAAACTGATCGTGACGATTTTATAGTGCATGAAAGTCAGAGCAGTGATATATATATATATATATATATATATATATATATATATATATATATATATATATATTATTACCAAACTTGTTTGTATTAAAATATGCTGCCTATATACACAAGCATATACTCGACTCTCCCGTCGAATATATATATATATATATATATATATATATATATATATATATATATATATCTTCTTCCCCCTCCAGCTATGGCTAAATAGCAGGATATACTGGGTTCTATTGCATTGGTCGAGGAGAAAAATAACTCTGAATTCAAAACCTGCGGAGGGTCGTTTGGGGACTCTGTGGCGCATAGTGCACCAGATCTCTGTATTCGGCCCTTCAAAAAGTGTGGATGGTCCTGCACAAAACCTTCATCACTATAATCAAATCTCATGTGCTGTTGTCGGGCTCTCGGTTTCCTAGGAACTGATATGCTTGATCGAATTTCGACGGGAGAATCGAGTATATGTTTGCGAATATAGACAGCATATTTTAATACAAACAAGTTTGGTTAAATAATTTAGGCATACTATGTCTGCTTATTTTTGTTTTAATCCTTTCGAGTTCATGAATCAATTTCTTGGTAGCCGTAGAAAATTGATTAAGAAAAATGCTAAAATTTTCCTTCAAATACTTTTTTTTTCAAATAGTTTCAGCACCACTTTAGACCATCTTCAGAATGTTAAATTGTCTGTGTATGTG